GTTAATATCTTTAAAAAATAGAAAATTTTTAGAAAGAACTAATATATTTAAATCATTGATAACAAAAAATTTCAATGTGAAAAATTTTATACGTTTATAATTTATAAATGTTCTTGAAAATTCATTGAAATTTTTGAAATTAAAATAAGTATGTAATCTTATATGGTATATAGTTTAATATATATATATATATATATATTTTTTTTTATTATTGAATGATACTTTTTACTCATATGGTTTTATAATCATGTGTATCTTTTTATAATAAAAATGTTAAACTATTGATCAAAATGATCAAAAGATATATTCATATAATAAACGTTTTTGCCTTATAATAATTATTATATATAAGCTATTATAATAAACGTTTATAATAAACGTTCATATAATAATTTAATAAACGTTCATATAGTAAACGTTTAAGCTTTAAACATTTATAAATAATAGATTGGGCCTTTTTATATCGTTCATTGTTTTGTCAAAATGATCAAAAGATATATTCATATAATAAACGTTCTTGCCTTTACCATTAAGTATGTACTTGGTCACAAAGTAATTTCTATTTTACATATACACTTCCATAAATTAAAAGGAATGAAGTTATTATAGTTAATATATGCGAATCGTTATCAAATCGTATATTTTCCTTTTCTTCCATTACATGCGTGCGATATATATATATATAAACTATGTTACATGCGTTATATGCGTCTCTAATTATTTTTTCCTAGCAAATTTCAATTGAACCTAAAGCTGCCACGTCAGTTTAATTGGTATGCTAATTGATTGACAACTAAGCAAGATTACTTTTTAATTATTACAAACTTGAGGTTACATCTTTTCAAATGTTTCTCAATTAATATATAGGGGATTTTTATGTTTAATTGAATTCAAACACGGATTAGTCAAAAGAACGATGACATAACCAAACGTATAGGCCAAATATATATGATGTCATAACATAAACACAGCACACACCAAAATACCTGAACAAACAACGAGAAAACATAACACAAATCAATAAATAGCTACTTGGATAAAATTGCAACCATTAGCTACAATTTGATAATCCCTTAAAGGATTGGGAATCTGTTGTTTTCTGATCAATATATTACTTTGGGCCACAAGAACACAAATCCGAACAATCTACTCAAAAACTGACATGACTTTAGATTAAAATCTTAAAAATGCAACCAGCCAAAGTAGGCTACCAACTGAGATAGAATGTTGAGTAGTCTTGAGATCAGTCAAAACACATGTAAACTTCTTCATTCATTGATATGAGGTTAGTGCGTTCCAAAAAAAAATTAATTAATTTGAGGTTAGTGACATAAACATTGCCAAAACTGATGTCTCTAAAATTCCAAATATCTAGACGATGTTGTATTTGTGAGAGACATATATCCACAGTAAAGATTTTATAGAACAATGGTTAGGCTAAGGAACACTGGTTCTTGTACAACTTGTATAAGGGTGGACACTTTACCCGAACCCAACCCAAAATATTCGAACCGAAATCCAAACTGAAGTAGCAAAATACTCGAACGGATATTAAATTAGAAGAGTTTGGATATCCGAACCCGAACGGATAATACCTAAACCTGAATTGATATCAAAAAATAACCGAATATATATATATATATATATATATATATATATATTTTATTCTTAGTTAATTTATTTAATTTTATTCAAAATATATATATTAGTGTTGTATATAGCTTAAGATCAGGTTATATACATATATATTTTTTAAATGATTTTCTATTTATTTAAAATGAATGTTAAGCTTCTTATTTTATGTTTTAACAAAAACTGCATCCAAAATTTGAAAATAACAATCATATTAGTGATTTTCTATCTTCAATCATTTATTTTCAAATTTATTAGTTGTTAACTTATTAAACATTTAAAAACTAGTTAAGTTAACAATAAAATTTTAAGTATATAAAACTTAAGCAATGAAAAATTTGAATTTTGTCTTTCAAAATCTAAATATCCGAATTTAAAATATTCTAACCCGATATGTAAAAATACCCAAACGGATATTAGACCCCAATACCGAAATACCCGATCCGAATCCGAACATGTATCCAAACACCCACCCTTATATGTATAAATAGATTTATTTATTTATTTTTTGTCAAACTATAAATAGATTCATTTAATGAAGTAATATGTAATGAAAATGGGGAAAATTGACAAAATAACCCTCAACTTTCGAAAATAAGCCAAAAAAATCTCCAACTCACAAACAAGCAATTTTAATCTTCAACTTCTAGTCAAACACGAATAAATCTCATCTTTTCGTTGACCAAGCCATTTTAATCTCGTCAAAATTCAACCGTTTAGTTCCGTTAGTTATATTTAACGGTTGACTTTTAATGAGCCTAAAATGGCTTGATCAACGAAAGTATGAGATTTTTTTAACTTAATTTAAAAATTTAAGATTAAAATTGCTTACTTAAAAATATCTTAACTAAAATTAATTTTTTTAACTGACATAAAAAATATAATTTTACATATCGATTGTAATCACTAACTTAATAATATATGTTCAAATAAGTTTAGCTATAATATTTAAAAATGAATTAAAAAAATTATATACATCAGCTGCTGGAAATCTCTTTTACGCACTTGAGTTCCTCATTTTCACTTGTTTCATCCTCTATTGAGTATATGCGATGATACTTTTAACAATAATGTATTTAGGGTTTTACCTTTAAATTTTATGTTTTTATTCTTAATTTTTTTTGAATATAAGCACTTAATTATTTTATTTTGTATCTGGATTTACAGTATAATTATATGTTTAGTCAATTTTTTTTACTAAACAATTTTTTTAATTCATTTAAAAATATTATAAATAAGCTTATTTGAACATATTTTATTAAGTTTATTATTCTAATCGATATGATAAACTACAATTTTTGTTGAAAAAAATAAAACAAAAATAACAATTTTTAGTTAAGATAAGTGTACAATTTTAATCTTCAACTTTTAAATTAAAATAAAAAAAAATCTCATACTTTTGTTGACCAAGCCATTTTAGGCTCATTAAAAGTCAACCGTTAAATATAACTAACGGAACTAAACGGTTGAATTTTGACGAGATTAAAATGGCTTGGTCAACAAAAGTATGAGATTTATTCGTGTTTGACTAGAAGTTGAAGGTTAAAATGGCATATTTGTAAGTTGGAGAATTTTTTGACTTATTTTCGTAAGTTGAGGATTATTTTGTAAATTTTCCCAATGAAAATGTGATAGATAAACATCAAACAAGAACACGACACGTGGCCACCTCACTATATCATAAAGCAGGTGATTAACACTCTCTCGAGAGTGAAGCATCAATCTTCTTCCTTTATAAACCCTAAAATTACACAATTAGGGTTATTTTTTAGTGATTCTGTAACCTTATAGAGAGCGATGGCGACTACAGGGAACGCATCGGTTGCGACGGGAACGACAACGGCGAAGAGAAAACCAGTGTTTGTGAAAGTGGAACAGCTAAAGCCTGGAACGACTGGTCACACATTGACTGTCAAGGTCGTTGACTCCAATCCGGTGGTTCCGGTTACCCGTAAAGCTCGTCCGGGTAGTTCTTCGATGGGTCGTCCGTCTAAGCCTAGTCCAATCGCTGAGTGTCTCATTGGAGACGAAACCGGATGTATTCTCTTCACTGCTCGTAACGAACAAGGTTACTTACTTACTTACTCACACTCTTTATTTTTTTTGCTTTTAAGTTGTTGAAATGGTATCGTCATGTTATTAAAGTCTGGTCCTTTATCTGTTCACTCGTTTATGTCTTTTGGAACATGTTATAAAAACGCTGTCTTGTCTGAAAATTAAAAAAGGAATTACTGCATATTCAGTGATGTCTTTGTGCAGTTTAGTGGACTTGAAGTTTATGTAATTTTTACCATTTGGTTGTGTGAAACTTGTTTGTTCAGTTGTTGAGCTATATGTTAAGAGTTAAGTGTTCTACATGGTTCCAAAACTTAGTATTTGCAACCCACTTTGGCCTAGTGATTGGATTGGTATCGTTGTATTTATAAAGTCTGATCCTTTGTTTGTTCTCTCGTTTATATCTCCGACCCTTTCTGTTTGGCAGACAATAAACTGGTAAAGTATCTTATGTCAAGTTCTGAAACATAATACAAAAGCTGTCTAGTCCGAAAGTGGAATAATTGTGTCCAGTTTAGTGGACTTGGAGTTTGTATAATATTTATCCTGCAAAATATGAGTGGAGTTGTATAATGCATATAGTACACTTCATCTTGCCATTGGTACTGGTGAAACTTGCTTATTCGCACTCTTTCTTTTTGCTTTGTAAGATTTAGAAATGGCATCGTCATGTTGATAAAGTCTGATCCTTTGTATGTTCTCTCGTTGATATCTCTGTCAATTTCTATTGCAAGACACTGGGGCAATGTGTCTATGTCAAGTTGCTGGAAAATATTACAAAAGCTATCTTGTCTCAAAGTGAAAATCTGTTATTCAGTGATGTCTTTGTGCAAGTTTGTATAATATATTTGCTTGGTCAGTTGTTGAGCTATATACTACATGATTCTTGTTGAAAAGTTACTATTGCAATCCCTTTTGGCCTAGTAGTTGGATTGATTTGTTTTGGTTTTGGTTTTGGTTTGTGTGTGTATAGTTGATCTTATGAAGCCAGGGGAAACGGTGATACTGCGAAATTCGAGGATAGACATGTACAAGGGTACAATGAGGCTAGGGGTTGATAAATGGGGACGCATTGAAGCTACTGAGCCAGCGTCTTTCACTGTCAAAGAGGATAACAATCTGTCTCTTGTTGAATACGAGCTGATTAACGTTAATGATCAGTGATCCTTTTCAGTGTGTTTATGGAAAGTTAACCCCTGAGAGTGATTTTGATCTGATTCTTGGTCTTTGATCTAGATGATGAAGATTTGTGACTCGTTTAGAGATGCTTGCTTCTAGGATTTGCTTTTACCCTAAAACATGAAACCAGGATCTTGATTTGGAATATTTATTGAGTTCATGACTTTCCTTATTTTGATGTATGTTAGCCATCTTCATTAGCCTATTCAGTTTCACCACATTAACACATAAGCTAAGGCCCCATCAAAAGAATTTTTCACTCCTTATGATTTCATAGGCTCCAGTGGGTTCCATGCGATTGAATTTTTTTTGGGTCTACCAAAAGATGAGCAATTCTCAGACTTCCACTCTTTAGGATTTCATAGGCTCCACTGGGTGATTTAATTTGTTGTGACTTTTTTAGTTTGAAGAATAAAAAATGGTTTTCACATGAAGATAATGAGTGAGCGAGTTTCAGTTTTTCCATCTTGATAATTTTCCTTGCTGAAGACGTGCGGAGATCATATAAAACTATTAAGTAACCACGATCGCTGGAAGAAGAAAAATAGTAAATGGGCCGTCTATAATTTATGGATTGATAAACTAGTAATTATGTATTAGTTTAATAGAACTAGGTGATTTTCCCGTGCTCATGCACGGACATGTATATTTATAAAATAAATATATAATAATAACTGATTGATATTTATTTTAATTTTTAAATTAATTTATAGTTTGTATGTCTAATTTATATTATAATATTATATTACTTTAATTATATATATAATTTTAGATATGTTATATTTAGTCTGTTTTATTGTTTTTACGGTCGATTTAGTTATCATTTAGATATATTGAATTTTTGATTAATTGTCTTATTTGCATTTATGTTGGTTATTATCTTAGAAATATAAGTATATTTAGTAAGCTTATATATAACTTAAGATTTTTTTGTGCTTAGAAGGAAAAAAAAATTAAAACTAAATTTCTGATTATAAATTACATACATAAGTAACTAATGAATTTCTAGAAGATTTTTGAACACATATCAATATTTACAATAGTTAACATATTTTATAAATTCTAAATAAATTTATGCTTTAGATTGTTTGGATGGTAAACTGAAATTTATTTTAAATAATTTTTAAAATAAGGATTATGATTTGCTTAAGTATTTGACTATGGTTATATCAAGTTTCACAAACATAAAAACAAAAAACCAAAAATCGAAAGATTATTAAGAAAACAGATAATTTTAACTATTAAAATATAATACATCTACCTTGTTAAATTATTTAGTGTTATGGTATTTTAAAATAATTGTAGTTATTTTCTGTTTTTATGTTTGTGAAACTTAATATAACCATAATCAAAATAGTTAAGTAAATCAGAATCTTTATTCTTAGAACAGATAATTTTAACTATTAAAATATAATATATCTACCTCGTTAAATTATATAGTGTTATGATATTTTAAAATGGTTGTAGTTACTTGATCAAAAGATGTTTATCATTAAATTTATTTTTATTTTTATTTTTAGTATCTCTTAAAATAGTCAGTAAAAAGTGATTGTTTTTGAGAAATTATACTATATAAGTAAAATAGAATTTAAATTTTTACTGTAATTGTAAGATATTATAGTCAAATGAATATACTAAAAAAAATAATTTCAATAATACTAATTATAAAAAAATTTCAGTTAAACATATATCAGTTTATGTTAGTTGATTATTTTATGTAATCATAATTATTTTGAAAATATATATATTTTATTGTTTAAAATTATTTTTAAGGAAAAAATATTTCTTTTTCTAATAGCAATATTTTTTGTGTGAAATTTTTTTTATGAAATCTCATTATATACAGATATTGTTTTTTTTATCTAAGAAGATATAGATATAAAGTATTTTATTACTACAAAGGTATATTTTATGTTATTTAAAATATATTTAAATTAATTATTACTATTTTGTGAATTTTCCTTTTTTATTAAACCATATTATATATACTTATATTTTCGTTTTTAAATAGTTTTGTAAATTTTATAAATGTTTCCTTTTTAATTTATATAGTTATTTGGAATTTTTTAAAAAGAAAATAATATTTAATTATATTTTTAATTCATTAGGGGTATCATAGTAATTAACCAACGTGAGAGTTAACGTGAGCGCGACACCTAAGAAAGTGACTTCTCAAATAATATTATAGAGATATTATGGTTTCAACTTTATTAACTTGTATGTGTGTACTGTCCAATATTCGGAATTACATATAAATTTTTTTTTTAAGTAACTTTGTTTTAACCACTTTTAATGCACAAATATAACTCAGTCAATTTATTTATTTTAAAATAGTGAATAAACTGAATACATTAAAATTTAAGAACTGATATGTTCAAATTTAATATGTTTTTATTTTCCCAGAAAAGTCCAATTTTTTTCTTCTGGTTATTAAAAATTAAATAAAAATACGCTTTGATGAAAAATATTTGCGTTGTCGGACTTTTATTAGTTTGGTAGCATACTACCACAAGCAAAACCTTACATTAGGACTAGTCAAATTCTCATGTTTTGAATAGCAAGCTTTCTTCAAACCAAGAGTCTTATATAGATGCACACATTTTATATATGTAAAAATGAGTTGAATTAAAATCAAAATCTTTGAATAGATATATGCTTATGTGACCCAAGCTAGCATTTCTTTATTGAACAACAAAATCCACATGCAAACCACATGGCTTACCAAGTATTTAAAACAGGAAAACTAACTTGCCAAACACTTCTTCGTTTTTAATAGTATTTCAGTTAATCATCCAAACTCTCACAAAGTAAACTAATTATACCAAATAAGTTAATACACAATGCATACCTGATTTTACCTTACACTTCCACCTACTTACATCCGTAAAGTGCTGATTTTTTCAATGTTTCCCCCCAACCTAAACTGGTAAGAGAATTATTTCGGTCAAACCGTGACTTACGCGTTATGTTTCAAAACTCAAACATTGACTTTTCAGAACAAAAGTAAATTACTTTATTTTTTCTTTTGTAATATAAATGTGAAAAATCATCAGCATTGAAATACTTTAATGGTATGTAATTTGTTGATAGAATCGTTTTTGGAAGATCTAATATGAAATAATCATTGCTAAAATAAGAAAAAGTGATTACAAAAAAAAAAAAAAGTGTGTATTCGTCTAGTTAGATAAAAATTTAACCCAAAAGAATATGTACATGATGATAGTATCTTTAGAGAATGCTAGTTTTGATAGAAACGTAAAATAAACCCTATGCTTTACAGCTTTAAACACAATGATAGTATAAGCGTAATTTCATACATCGTAAAGTTGTTGTAGAGCGACCCGTTCAAGTCATAATACTTGGTCAAAACGCCAAGTCGTGGGATTGCGCGGGGAAAATCTGACCCAAGTGATTAACTCTCGAGACATGACCACTTCCTAGTAACTTGGTGTATATATACACATACTCCTTGCTCTCCTTTACCCATCATAACCACCATAACTCCTAAGTTTCTTTCTTAACCAAACACAAAATTTAGTTTTCTTTCCCAGAAAATAATAAGCTATTACCTGATCATTTCGAAGCTAGCTTGTTGTCGGTGCAACATAAATGAGGAGAATTAGTTGGTCTACTGTTTTGATCATGGTGGTGGTGGCGTTGCTAGTGGTAGAACACGTGGTGGTTCCAGCGGCGGCGGGGAGAGTTCTAACGGAGAAGTTAGGAGGCGGAAGAGCAACGGCGATGAGGGTGGAGATGATGAAATCGACGGTGGATTCATGGTTTCAGCGTTTGGCTTCGGGTCCGAGTCCAAAAGGTCGCGGCCATTAAATCACATAAGCTCCCTTTTACCGAGTGAAGGAGACTTAATTAGTCTGTGCTCCATATACCACACTAGTAAAAAAAACTGTATTCCATTCATTCATTTAGGCAAATTAGTATTATTTAGTGGCAGAAACTAAACCAAATATATATACATGTACATAACTTTGCATTTAATTGAAAATTTCAATAAGACTTCATACTCTGGTTTTTACAACAGAATTATTTCGTGGTAGCTGGGTGAGTCTTTGCACGCCAAATAGCCATCCGGGGCCACCTTCTTAACGTTTTATATTACATTGTTTTTGTCAAATCCTGAAGATAACGAAGAGCCTTTGCAATTGCATGTCACAACTCGAAGTTGGAGTGTGAACAAAGCATGAAACTGAAGTTGCTAGACTGTAAACCAAAAAGCCAACAGAATCTCTCTCTTTTTTTCTATTTACGAGAATATTAAGTAGCGCAAGTTGATTTAGAGGAGCTAGTTACAAACCAACTATTGAATGATGAAGCGATTGAACCAAATGAAATTGTCAACTAAACCAGTTCCTATTATGCACATGAAACCATATAAGCTCTTCGTGAGAGTATCCAAATGCTTGGCACTTCATTCCTCTCTGTAGTTTGGATTTTCTTTCAATATGACGAAACCTTCTAGTATGGGAGACAATGGAATGTACCTGTGAATCCCCAAAAAAATAGAGTTTTTTAGATTCCAATATGTGTAACAAAGTTTTATTTCGAGTAGGAAATGGTTTAGAGGAACAACATACTTGTCGGTTGCGAGTTCTGCTCTCTCCCCAGCAGCAAGTAGAATAGGCGTTTCATATGTTTGGAACCCAGTGATTGTCTTGGGTCGACCTGCCTGTCCAACCACGTCAACCGCTTGTCCTACCCTCACTGGCACCGAGATGAGCTTCAGGTTCTCGTCCACTGTCATCATCATCCTTGGCTACAGACACTCAAACCGTATCGCGTTAGTAGATACAACAATGGCATAATCCATTTGGTACAAAAAAATATAAAGTACTCGGATAGAGTATAACATTGCAGTCACCTGCATCGCCAAAACGAGGAAGTAGAGCACATAATGGTATTTCCCAAGTATGATGGATTTGATGTCAAGGCATGCATGCAACAATGTCACTATACCAGCAAGTGCGGTTCTGAATACACCCATGGTTTAGGATTCACAAAGTGGAGCTTTCATAGCCAAAAAATATTCACAGAATAAATGTTACTTACGGGGATAGCAAGATCCGGTCGGAGTGAAAGGGATTGATAGTTAAGAGACCCTTTCCCATATGCACCAGTCCTTGAGCAATACGCACCTGCATTACAAACTTACCACAATGAGAACTAGCCTATCTTTATTTCATGAAAAGGAAAACATAGAAACATTAAAACATTACACAAAAGAGAAGGCTGGCATCCTTGTCATAAAAGCTGGAGAGGTTTCTAAGCATGCCAGCAATCCTAGCATTGTTGGTTCCAGCACCGATCAAACCAAGGGAGATAATTGCTGCCTGTAGTAGTCAGATGAATCATCAGTCCCTCTCCAACGATAAAAATCAAGTCAATGAAAATAACTACTACATCCTCAACCATGTGAGTGGCGAAAAGAGAAACTCACCATGGCAACTTCTGAATCTGTGTCATGGCTAAGGCGGCTCAACGTGTCCATAACATTCATCTGGAGTTATGGAAAAGATTAGAGAGTAAAAACCCTATAATAAGTAGAAAAGTAAAATCAGTTTTTTTTTTTTTGAACTGAAAAAGGGTATATTCACCTTTGGGTTTGATGTAGATAGGAGACCAAGGGCCAACGGCACTGCACGCCGAATGTTTTGTTCTCCATACTGAAGCACGTGCTCCAGAGAACGGATCGCCATATCACGACCCAGTTCTTCAGACATAGCAACCATCGCTAATCCAAGCACAGCTGGACCCTGGTGGATATTGCCTTCCTCCAGATGCTCTCCACATTGAGCCAGAAGCTCTTGGACCTGAACAATGAAAGTGTCAGCAACTAAACTAGAAAGCAATGAAATATTTGTAGTTTAACAACGAGATACCTTGAGGACATCCCCACTGCCAGCATAGGCACAGGAAAGAAGTGTCATTTCACAATACTTTCTGATTTTCTCACATAAGTTCTTTGAAATCTCCGCGGTAGCCTCTACACTTTCCTGCTCGATAATGGAATAAGTTGAAACTGATAAGCGTTGTAAAATAAGATGGGTAAACAAACAAGAAATGAATCATGTACCTGTTTGCCAAGGTACAAAAGTCCAAGACCAAGAGGCAAGAAACGAGCGAGGGCTTCACCCAGTTCTGCCGAATTCCGATCCATCAAAGCAAACATAATAGATTGTGCGACCTCGTCATTACACGAACCAACATAAACCATCCCCAAACTAAGTGCAGCAAATGCAGCCACATCGAGAGGTGTTTTTTTATCATTCAGTATTGGAGACAAGCTGTTTTTTATCTGTCCAAACAATGATGAGCAAGCATGTTATTGTCTCTCACGTCAACAGAACATTTACAAAAAAAGCAGATTCACCTGATCATTTTTGGAACCCGCGTAAGCAATCCCCATACCCATAATAGCACCAATTCGGACAGATGAATCCTCCTTATCAATATATTCTTCAAAAAGGGCCAATGCCTGAGCAAGAAAGGTTCAAGGTGAGTAAGAAGAAGAATACAATATGGCGAAAAATAATGAGAACAGAGTTTCCAAAATAAATCAACTCACAACATCACAAGTAGTCTTAATGCCAGAATGAACAATCCCAACACCCAGCAGACCTCCAGCACTCACAAGTTTATCATTGCTATCGCAATATATGTCGAGTTCACTAAATCCGGCGTCCACATCCCACAACAAAATCATACCCTAGCATTGGAAAACAACGAATTCGTGTTACAATTTTCACTTCCAAGATATGAACGCTCCTAGTCAAAACTATCACGTAAGAAGACGCATACCAGACTAGCAGCTGCACTGGTCTTGCCATGGTCTTTATTTTTTAAGACCCAGCTTCCAGCAGGTCCACTGGTCATTAATTTGTCCTGCAATAAGTAAACTTATCAAACCGGGCAGCCGAACTTACAAAATTTCTTCTCATTTTTCCCTGCAATAAGAATCTCTAATCGTACCTGGCCGAAACCAGCATTTACAAATGCATTCACAAAAGTATCAGCCAGGTTTTTTCTAGCAGACTCCACAACTGGCCAAGATCTAACCCTGAGCAAGTGAGCCTACAAAATTTCATCATCCATCAGATAAGAGACACTGACAAAAGCAGATCCTGTAACCAACAGGCATAAAAACATATACCTTGTAGATGTCTTCAGGCGTCTTGGCCTCCATAACCTCAATATCCTTTGCAAGCGCCAGATATCCTTCACTCAAGTTAGTGTTGTTAGCAATGTCCCGTAACGTATAACTGTCAACCTCATCTGCAACCATCTCAGGGTCAAGGTTAAAGGTGATGCCCTGCATCGGATAATAACGAGACAGGAAAGTGAATCATCAGTTACGGAATCTGTACAGTGAATCTGATGTTAATCATTAAGCACTTACATGACGTGAAATCATGTAGCAGAACTGTTTCTTTTTTAGCAGATCAGTGCATGAGGTAAACACTTGCTTCACATACTGCAATACAGAAAGTGTATATCACTTATAGGAAAGATTTTTCCAGCTTTCCAAATGTTGCAGAGTAAAGGATATTAAATTCTGTATGAAGATTACAACCCAGACCTGCATGTTGTCAAGCAATAGTGCAATTTGCAGAGCGTTCGGATATTCTTTAAACTTCATGTAGAGCGTGTAAGCAAGATCTAAAGCCACCATGTCATCGGGCCATGGACGATACCTGAACAAACAAAAAACACACAATGTCAAAGGGAGTGGTCCGGTGTCTCATCAAAATCACCAGTCACATGAATAAGATGATCACTAAATTACTTTGCTGCACTAGTGAGGTAGTTGCACGTCCTCCTGAAATTCGTGCGGCCTACATGGTCAAGTAAGAGATCAAGATCCTCAACTTCCATTAGGAGGTCAACAGCTTCGGTTTCTGCATTATGCTGCAATGAACAAAATTGAATCCTTAATTCAGAGATAACTAGATAGGAAAGCACAAGAGGTTCAAGATATAAGATGCATTAAGTCTTCAATAGAGGACTCCCTAACCACGAGAAGGATCTCACCTTCATGAGAAAAGCAACTATTTGACGCACAAGATCCATTAAGTCCATTATAGAGGACTCCTCAACCTGATTTAACAAAAAGAAAAAGCATATAACCATATTTCAGAAACTAATCTAAACCAAACATTGTTATGCTAAAGGAGAAATAGTGTTCTTTGTATGTCAGGAAATTTGTAACCTGACGTATCGTATACTCTACTGCAACCTCTCCGGACAAATTCCTGACATACTCGTGACCCCATGATCCAATGAAACTTCGTGATCCAATCAACCTATATCGTAAGCTTTCCTGGAAGAAAACAAATAACAAATCTGTTCAGTCGTAACATAATAGGAAACACACAGAAAACAAAAAAGGAATCCGGTGATATATAAACAATAAAAATTAAGAAAAAAAGCAAGAAAAGCATACCCTTTCACCCTCAGCAGACATGGTGAGTGCGAGGACAGAGAGTATATCAGCCAAATATTTCTGCAAATACATGAAAAATTCGATCTTTAATCTATACACAGCAGAGAGAGCATGCAAGGAGGTGATACTTTCTTAAAACGTCCGAAGACTATATATACCTTGAGAACAGACTCGTCAGCCATTTTGTGATGACAATCCTTAAGAGTTCCATAATGAGGACGGAGAAACTTGAGGGGTTTAGGAACTGACGTCATGGAGCTTGTTGAGGCACGGATCTCCTGCCTACAGACAAAAATAAAATAGATTAGATTTTCGTAAACGGATTACAAGAAAACAAGATCCAAGAAGTAGGTACCCGAGGCTTTTAAGAGCGGCCTTTTGCAACTCAGGATTGGGGTCTTGAATCCTCTCAACATAGAGCTCAAGATTCTGCTTTAGTTCCAAGTCTTCTTCAGACTACATTTTTAATCACAAATCAGATGCAAACTAAGTCATCACCATAGCCACACTGCAAAACGTTCCAATCTTTAAAAACCTAATCTGAGATTATGAACTAAGCCCTAAAATCTATGAAAAGAAGATTAATTCAATCTTGATCTCCCAGGATATGCTAACTAAACAACTAACTCCCATTTAACAAACTCTGAAGCGAAGCAAAGAGTTTTGAAAGAGAAATGCGAAATAGAACTTACGAGATCTTCCTCCTTCTTCTTGGGAGTCTTAACCTTCGTCTTAGCTTCATCTCGCTTCTTCGCACCACCACCATCGCGACGCGGATCCGGAACTGGAGCCATCGGAATCAAGCTGAAGAATCGAAAGAAACGACAAACGGAGATTCGAAAACTCGGGACGATCGATCAAATCCCTAAGTCTTGGAAAGTGGACGTTAGAGAGGAACTGTGACTTTCTTGTTGAAGCGATGGAGGGAGAAGTGTAGAAACGGTTATAAACCAAGAAATAATTATGAAAAAAAAAACAAAATACAACTATACGGAGAAGATTTCCCCTCGATCTAGAATTCCATTATGGGCTCGGCCCAGTAATACTAATCACTGGCCCATACTTCTTTGCCATGGTCCGTATCCAATATTATTATTTATTTTCTAATGGAAAATCCACGTCACATGATGGGGAATAAAAGGAAACTTTGGTCCAGGCACGCTTTCGAACCAGCGACCTTGGGGGCTTATAAGAGCGTTAGTTATGTGAGTCAAAGGTCGCGGGTCGAATTCACCAGGTCCAAAAGAAAAAGAGAGCCAAGAGGGTAAACTTCCAACCGTCAAGTTTCCAGTGAGATTAACTGCTGAACAGAAGGCTGGGTTTACGAAGCTTTTTGGGTGATCATTCAAAAGCTTTTAGTCTTTTGAGGTTTATGGGGAATATTTTGTTAAACAAAATTCAAGTTACTCGCTCAAGGTTTGGTACACGTCCTCAAGAACTGAAGATGTACAAAACTTTTTGTCTTCTTATTGTTCCCTGTCTAGAGCTATGAGATTATTCTTTAATGAGGGGAGAACCTATGCGTGGGGAAGACGAGGAAGAAGCCGCCACAAACAACACCGATGATGAAAGGCCAACCGGTAAGGAGCTGGTGGTTTAAGAGTTAACAGTGTTACAAACAGAATGAGCATCTGCAAGATCACTTTTATACAAAGAGTATTAGCCAAGTAATATTTTTCTTTCAAGATGTGGCTATTTAACTCCAAATGCAAGTCTCAATACTTTTTTTAATCTCTCCCGAACGACATGTTTATTACAATTGACTCATTCAGCAAAGTCTCTTCTTCCTTTTTTTTTAATGGGATAATGAGTCCCAAGAACAACTTAAAAGGTATATAACAATCCAAATATCTAAGCTTTTGATCCAAACGATGCGAGGAATTGAAAAGACTGACACAACCCACATGAGAGTTTTACTTAAGAAGCCTCTCTACTTCTTTGGATCCACTTCCAAATTCATCGCCTGCAGGTTAAGCAAAAGATCATCAGAGCTCAGGTACACCTTGTTGGCCGAGTTTGCTATGGTTTGAGCAATCTCTCTTGCCGCCTCTATCTTCCTGAGCGTTATGAACGCTTGGTTGTTTGCAATTGCTTGACCTATGAGCTGAGCACTCTTGGCTTCTCCCTACACAAAAGGTACGAGAACGTTTGTCACACAACAATCTCAGAGTCTAAGAACTTAGGAAATAGAGAATGTGGAAAATCTCTCTTTACCTGGGCGCGGATAACTGCACTTTTCTTGTCTTGTTCGGCCTTCTCAACAATGAACTTAGCCCTCTCAGCTTCTTGAGCCGCCACCTGCTTTGCTTCAATGGCAGCAGTGAACTCTTTCCCAAATGTCAGGGTCGTGATGGACACATCGTCAAGCGCAATGTTGAAGTTTGTTGCTCGTTGAGTCAGAATCTTCCTGATCTCCCTACTGACCGCCTGAGAGTAACACCCCCAAAAATATTCGATAACCTGACTCACTAAGGAAGTGGAAAAATATATGCCTATATTTACACAAGACACTTGTATGCATTACCTCTCTCTGAGTGATAAGCTGGCTTGCGTTGTACTGAGCAACAACAGCTTTCAAAGTCTCGTGGATTATAGAAGGCAGAACTCTCTCGCTGTAGTTCTCACCAAGGGTTCTGTAGATCTCAGGTAACTGATCTGCCATGGGACGCGTGAGAACCCTTAGCCCAATTTTCACCTGAAAGTTCCAAAACACAGAGCTTATGAAGTTGTTCGTCGATATTACACCACCGTAGCATATAAGAAAGATACGATGGTTAAGAATTCAAATTGCTCCTAACCAAAAAGTGACACAAAGATGGGAGTGAGTTACCATCTGGAGATCACGGCTTCCGGATGTACTCTCAACAAGGTAAGGTCGAGCACGAACGTCATAGATGACCGGCCTTTCAAACCAAGGAACCATCAGGTGTGTACCCTCAGGGTAAACCTGCATCACAACAAGATTACTTTACTAACTCCATACTAGTGAGAAGCCTATGATATAAGCTCAGTGAGTAGAACAAAATCTCAGAACCAATAACCAAAGATGGACGAAAAATCAGCACCAGGGATGGATTGATACACAAAAGTTACAAGGTTTCACAAACTTTACTCAGACCTAGCAAATCAACCTAGACAAGTTTCATTAGATGTCACAAACCACATCAACAAGAAAATACTAACCAACCTTGTCTTTAACACCGACTAAACGGTTGAACATGATGGCACGATGACCTCCATCGACATTGTAGAGACTGTGAGTGGCACCGTAGAGACCAAGCCCACCAATAATCCCAACCTTAAGCAACGCAGATACAGCACCTCCACCTGGCACCTTCGGAACTTTCACGTTGTTGAGATTCATCTTTTCCTAGAGAACAAACATTCAAAGTTCAGACTCAGATCTAGTCAAACCCAAGTCAAAATTCCATCAAAGATAGAAACTTTAAGGAAAATCCATCATAGGTTCCGCACAACATCGCTAACTAAACAGTAAAACTCGCATCTTTGGCACAATTGCAACGGCAAAATTCGAATTTACTTGTTGATTTGGAATTTCGATAGGAGACTTGACCGGTACACAGAACACAGTGAGGAAAATTTGGGGAGAAGCGTACCTGAAAACCTGATAGCTTTGATAATGTCGCGGAGAAGCGAGGGGGGAAGATCGTCGGAAATGGGTTTAGGGTTTAAGCTCTCACCGGCTTTCTACTCAAGAATATAGGACGGTCTCGAGTTTTCGGTTGAAAAATTGCTTTGGGCCCACGTTATTTAATTCGAGCCCATGTTACTCGCAGACTAAAAGCCCAATATCGAACTCCATATGGAACTTGTTCCAAAGATTGACAAAAGACAATTATGGCTTAAAGAATTAACAGGATTGGAATAAGATGAATGCAATATAGTAGAAAAATGAAATGAATCTATTCATTTACTTCTTAAAAATGTATTTTGCTTAGTTTTATGTGGAATTGATGGTATGACCAATTCATGTCAAATGATAAAAAAAAAAACTTATGGTTAATCTAGTTACAGCTTATGTATATTCAGATGATGATGATTATGTTTCCAGAAATATAAATACTTTAGTTCAATGATAGTTGAACTTTAATATTTTCATGCTAAGAATTTTGAATATTATGATAATTATGCATACGAATGGATAAAAATCATATATATATATATATATATATATATACTAATTTTTGGTAAATCACCTATACATTATTTGTGAAGTGGTTTTGCCACATGTCCTCTCTAGAATCAGTTTCACAAAAAAATGGTGACATGTCTACTAGAATTGATGACATGGCATATGATTAAATATGACATGGACAATTGCATTTAATGTTAATATATATTTTTGGAAAACTTTATAGAATATGGTAACAACTCATATATTACATTTAATGTCGATTTATATTTTTGGAAATATTTTTAAAATATGATAATAACTAATAAATCATCATTAAAATAAATATATACCAATATGGCATTAAAAATTTCGAAAATATCATTTAGTTATATATTTTAAAACTATACAATTTTATTACAAAAATTTCAAAAATGTATACATTTTTTGAAAATTATTAAAATTTAATCCAAAAATTATTAATTTCTTATATATTTAAAAATTTAATAAATATTTTCTAATTTTAAATTTTGATAATTATAAAATTTTCTACAAATTTATTTAATATATTTCATTAAAATAAATAGATAAAAAATTATCTAAGCTTATAATTTTAAATATATACATGCATATTCTTAAATATAACTTAAAATAAACAAAAATATTTTTATATTACTTTTTATGTTTGATTAAACAAAAATTTGTATTAAAATAGTGATAAGAAAAAGAACTCATAAATTATCATTAGGAAAATAAATAATATAATAGTAGAAACATAAATATAATAATATTACAAATATTGAAATATTTTTAAGTGTATTTTTATAATTTTATATTTTTTATTAATAAGTTTTTTTCAAAATTTTAAGCAGGTTTTTTCAAAATTAAAATTTTCTAATCCCAATAACATTAGCTTTATTTATAACATCTATAAATTTTAGAAATATTATTTAGTTTTATATTTTGATAATTATATATATCTAACAAAATTTTCTCTTAATAGTATAGAATGTGATTTAATATAATTTAACCAAAAGATAAAGAAACATATATATTATTAAATATAAATTTAAGAAATTTTTTTAAGATAGACCTAAAAAAAAGTTTTAATCACAAATATAGATCTTAAAATAAAAATGACCAAGATAGAATTAAATGTTTTATCAAAATAAGTAAATATACACTTATATTCTTTTGGTTAACTAATGGTAAACCTTTTTTTAAAGTTGAGGAGTGGGGTTTTAGGGATAGGATTACAATTTTTTTCTAAAAAAAAATTGAAATTTTCAAAATAAAAATGATGTTTTGGTCATTTTAGTTTTAAGATCTATTTTTTTGTGAAAAACCTAAAACAAATTCTATTTGAGAGAATTGTCATATATTTAAATAAAACTGTTTATTTTCTCTTATTTTTTACATATAATTAATGTAAAATTAATAATGTAATAAAATAATAAATTTAAAATTATTTAAATTTTATTTTTAAATATAAATTTTATTTTAAAACTTTTATTCCTGCACATGGTGCAGGAAGCCACCTAGTTTCATATATAAAATTTGTTTGTATTGTTTGACGTGTAAAACGAGTTAGTGTAATGTATTTGAAAATGAATTTTTAAAAGTTTAAATATTTCTAAAGTAAACATTTTTTTTAGATTGTAAAGCTATTAATGTAATAACTTCTTCTTATTGATCAAAGTTAATATAATAATTTCATGTTATACTAATAGAATAACAAAAAGTATTAAAAATAGTTCAGTTAAGAAAGCTATAATCGCCAATTCATTTTGGATAAACTTGATTGAGAATATTGGATGACTTAACTGTGGACTATGGTCTTATGGTTTTGACAAAGCCATGGACACATGTCATAGCGACTAAACATGCAACGGAACAGTTGTCGAGTCAAGTCGCAGAAGATAAAAAACGGATCAAACCCTCCCAGTGTCGCCGCATCTATCAGGTGTCACCTTCTTGCTCTCTATTTCTTATTCTTATTACAACCTCTTTTATTCGATTTGTCTGAAACCAGATTTTGGATGTATCCTATAATACTCTTTGATCACAACGCCACAAATTTAATCTAATCCTCGTGTTAATTGCCAAACAAGTAGATTCTCCTATCACGTTTAAATCCAGTTATTATGGTTAAATGAACTTAAGATGACAATAAGGGAGAAACTAATATAACTTTAGAGTTCCGGATAATGTACATGAACCTAAAAATGAGATGGATACATTTGAATTTGTCGTGGTTTGGCATATGCGGAGATAGAGCTAGGCGCATGAACATAATGAGACGTACACTTGCTTGAGCACAGAGTGACGTGTAAAAACCATAGACCCACGACTTCATGCAACACACAAACCTTCATGCTCACTCAACAATATATAAACTACCACCAAGTCACTTATTTTCTTCATCCATCTCTTACAACACACACAAAGCAAATGGTTAAGCTAGCTCATATTCTCGTCGCAACGTTCGGGGTTCTCCTCGTCCTTAACGGCTGCCTCGCAAGGCAGTCGCTAGGGGTTCCTCCTCAGCTACGAAACGAGTGTAACCTCGATAACTTAGACGTTCTCCAAGCAACCGAAACTATCAAGAGTGAGGCTGGTCAGATCGAATACTGGGATCACAACCACCCTCAAATCCGATGTGCTGGTGTCTCTGTCTCTCGTCTTATAATCGAACAAGGCGGTCTCTACCTTCCTACCTTTTTCAGCTCCCCGAAAATTTCCTACGTCGTTCAAGGTCCATATCTATTTACACACACATAATAACCTTTCCTATCAACATATATGTCACGTTTACGAAAATCCATTGACCCCATATATTTCACTTTATTTAAACTTTATAGGAATGGGTATTAGCGGAAGAGTGGTCCCTGGATGTGCGGAGACCTTCATGGATTCGCAGCCTATGCAAGGACAGCAATGGCAACATGGACAACAAGGTCATCAAGGGCAACAGGGACAACAAGGACAGCAAGGACAACAGGGACAACAAGGACAGCAAGGGCAACATCAGCAGGGACAACAAGGGTTCCGTGACATGCACCAGAAGGTGGAACATGTCCGACATGGAGACGTCATTGCCATTACTCCAGGCTCTGCCCATTGGATCTACAACACTGGGGACCAGCCACTTGTCATCATCTCCCTTCTGGACATTGCCAACTACCAAAACCAACTTGACCGGAACCCTAGAGTATATAAGCACAAATTATTCACTACTGGAAGATCTACCATATCATTTTACCTAATATAAATACATGTGTTTGTATTTGTGATTTTGTGTCATATATAGGTGTTCCGTTTGGCCGGAAACAACCCACAAGGCGGTTTTGGTGGTCCCCAGCAACAACAACAACAACAGAACTTGTTGAGCGGATTCGACCCTCAGGTCCTAGCTCAAGCACTGAAGATCGACGTAAGGTTGGCTCAGGAGCTTCAGAACCAACAAGATAGCAGAGGAAACATTGTTCGTGTTAAGGGACCTTTCCAGGTTGCTAGGCCGCCTCTAAGACAAGCCTACGAGAGCGAGAAGTGGAGACACCCACGTGGCCCATCACAAAGCCCACAAGACAACGGCTTGGAGGAGACTATCTGCAGCATGAGGACACACGAGAACATTGACGACCCAGCCCGTGCTGACGAGTACAAGCCCAACCTCGGTCGTGTGACCAGCGTCAACAGCTTGACCTTGCCCATCTTGCAGTTTGTCAGACTCAGCGCCACCCGTGGCATTATCAAGGGTGTAAGTACATTATAATAAATCTAGATAATATGATTAGTTTCCCATATAGTCATACTTTAATTAATATTATACTAAAATTGTTCAAAAGAATTAATAAATTTAAATTTAAAATATACTACATAAAATAGAAGTCCTAATCATATACAGATTATATATCAGAGTTTATGATATTTTCTATCTAATTCATTTGCATATATATATGCAAAAAGACATAGAAAATATGCTTTTGACAAAAAAATAGGCATGGACTAAACAAACAGAATCTATTTCAGAATGCAATGGTGCTTCCGAAATACAACATGAACGCGAACGAGATCTTGTACTGTACTAGAGGACAAGCAAGGATCCAAGTGGTGAACGACAACGGACAGAACGTGTTGGACCAGCAGGTACAGAAGGGACAGCTCGTGGTCATCCCACAAGGATTCGCACACGTTGTCCAGTCTCAAAACAATTTTGAATGGATTTCTTTCAAGACAAACGCTAACGCCATGATCAGCACTTTGGCTGGTCGAACCTCGGCTTTGAGAGCATTGCCACTAGAGGTCATAACCAATGCTTACCAGATCTCTCTCGAGGAAGCTAGAAGGATCAAGTTCAACACGCTTGAGACCACCTTGACTCATGCGCGCGGTGGGCAACAACAGTTGATCGACCAGATTGTCGAGGCTTAAGTTAAAAGTTGTAACGTTTTAGTTATTAGTAATAATAAAGTAGTGACATGGTTACTACTATAATGGTCAGTTTGTGGTAATCATGTTCACTCTAAGCTTTTAATGTATGTGTAAAATAACACACCGGC